GCTCATTTCTAAGTCTTCAGGCACAAGCAAGTTGAACAAGCACATCTCTGTCAATTTACTCTTTGGCAAGGCTGTGGTGTCCTGTACACTACACAAGATTTTGTGCAGCAGCTGCTGATCAACCCTTAGATGGATAGAGAATGCCATTTTGGTGGTGTTTGCTGTAAGATCCTAATGGCTGCCAGGAGGTGAATTTCAGAATGAAAGACTATAAGATTCCTCATTAAAAGATGAGATTTGCTGTGCTCATTTTAGATTCAGTTGAAGAAGCAGTGAAATCACTTTCTATATAATAAATAATATTTTTGAGCTGCCTTACAAGGCATTACATTGCAAAAGAGGTCAAGGCTAAGCCATTCCACCTGAGAGTTTCCACATATTGTGAAAGAAGAGACTGGAATATTAGTTCTGCTGGAACTGGACTTTGGAGACACAAAGTCAGGTGAAAGATTTGGAGAGAAAACTGGGGAGAGATGGGCTTTCTGAATGCCTAACTCCTTGGAATGACAGTCTTTGGATATACTAAGAGCTGTAGCCAATATATACTTTTTAACAATTGATAAAAAAAAAAAAGAAGAAAAAAAAAGAAAAAAAGTAGCTATCATTAACTGAAAGGATAATACCAATAAGTCAAATTCATAGTCTCAGTCTGCATATAAATGATATATAACTTTATAAAATCTCTCCCTTACAGTATACTCAGTGTTTCAAAAATTCTTGAAGAAACTGACTAAATTTCCAACACTATACAAAACAAAATCTCATTACATTTAGGAATTTACAGGAAAGTGTGACATTTATGACTACAAAAGACCAGCAAGGAGCTCACAGGGCTCCAGAGACTGTTTTTTCTGACTTTGTCCTGATTTTAAAACTGGGAAGTGGGCAGTGTAAAGACTGAATAGACAATGAAAAAGAGCCTACAAGTAACTGATTGCTTAAAATTCCTTGAGGATGAGAAGGAAAGGTAAAGCTTCAGTGAGATGGAGGAAATGTCTAATTACACAAATATATACATAAATAAATGCATAACTGTTAGGTAGGGCATGGACATAATACTAATAAAATGTAAACCCATCTTTCAAATCAGGTCTCTGCTTATGTAGCAAAGTATCACACTTGTTTTGTGTGGCACTTGGGAGCTGTTAAAAGGGATGGAACAGATGAACAAACCTCTCTCTCCTTTTGGTTGTCTGGCACTGGAGCAGACTGGACCATTGCTACAATATGGAGTCCTTTATAAAATAATACAAATAAGGATTATAAATATTTAAAGAGGTTTATCCAAAGAAGGGTTTAAAAATATTTGATCCAAAGAAACTGCTCATCTTAGCTGTACTCTGTCTGCTCTTCTCCCCAAGGCCAGAACACCCACTAGGGCCCATCCATTCTCTTTCTCTGAACTGTTTTGGTGGGGTTTTTTCCAAGGAATAAGGTAGAACATTTATGAAGCACGGTCCCACTGTTTGTTTTCCTTTTCACTCTAAGCCTGTTATGTTCTTCTCTGAAATCTCTGGCAATTCATTTGCTGTCTGTTTTTCTATTTATGAAGTATTGTGTAATTATTAGTTAAGTTCCAGACCTTTCATTTGCATTTTGCATTTCAGGGCTTTGAGAGTGAGGTGGGGATTATTTTGAAGTGTTTTTTTCTGTTTTTTTGCAAGACCACAGAACACCTTGAACCTGGAATATTTGTTGTTTTCCTAGAAAATCCTTCCATGCTTTTTAGCTGAGCATTATTTTACCTAACTGAGGGGTTGGACTGCTCTATTCTTTAACTGGAACATGCTATCATATTCCCCTTCAAGAGTTTTCATGAATATTTTGGAATTAAGTTTGAAGCTAGTTCAGGCAAGGACACTGAGGGCACTGTTCATTTGCTGTGGCTACAGCTGGTAAGTAGCTATATAGGATTCTTTCTTCTTTCTGTATCAGGAAATATGTATTTCTGCTTTTCATATCTTCTAATTGTGTAAACTGTGACATGAACAGATTTGCTTGGGGCATTTGCCCGCTGTACTATTGAATACCATCAAACAGCAGACTGTGCACTTACTTGCAAAAACCTGGATAATACATCCATTCCATATATGCAACAATAACAATAATTAAGTGGATAATAATTTATACCAGAGTGAATACATACATATATGAATCTACTGGCAGAGATCATCAGATTAAATTACATGTCTTCCCAAAATAATAAACCAAATTAACAGTTCAAGGTGCAAATGCCCATAAACCTCAGGACCATTTGGGCTGACTGCTTCTTATATGCAGGAGTTTCACTCCTCATGCATTTTACATGTGCTAGCTATTCAATTACACTAAATTTTAGATGGCAACACCCATAAGCCATGTTATACAAATGCAGTACAGTTCAGACATATGTGATGTCAGTAATCAGTCTGTCATAATTCCACCAGCTGAGCAAGAACATCATCTTCTTAAGAGCAATCATCCACCACCTCAGGAAAAACTTAACACCAACTCCCTCCAAAAAAAAAAAAAGTTTTCAGTCAGCTCTTTGCTGTCTGCACTGGCTTTGGCTTGTTCTTGTTCTGAAACTCTCTCCTTGCCATGAAAGAACCAAGGTAAAATGAAAAGTCTTCATATGGTTATGATGGACATTTGTGATCATTAATATTAGGTCATACATTGAAGTGTCTTGTGATAGTCAAATTGTGCTGCAGACATCCAATCTGACTTGTATGGACTGAAGAAGTGGTACCTCAACCACCACATCTGAACCACAAAAGCCTGCACTGATCATGGAAGTACCATGAATTTTAATGTAAATTATTATTCAAAACAATAACACATGATAACAGTATAATAATATAAATACCATGTATTCATTATCATAGGTTTAAAATCCTCTGACTTGCGATACTTGCTTTATTTTGACTTGGACCTGCCACCTCTTTAGGCAACAGGCATCACATCACAGACTGCAGCTGACCATGATGTCAGTGACCATGGTGAATGCCATGCAGATAGTCCACCCTCTGCAAAAGCAGTTAACCACTCCACTCACTGAGTCCCAGGAGGAAGTCTGGTAAGTCCCTCCATGAAACAGGCGCTGTCTGATAAAGGCAAAAAGCACAAAGAAGGCTAGAGCACTATTTTCTTTCTGCTAATGGTAATTTCTTTTCACCTCCCGTCAGTCCAAAACCTCCTAGTAAAAGACAGAGTCAAGTGTCCCAGACCTGCTGTCCTGCATCATTACCCTTACCAGGTCATGCAGCTCCCAGAACACCTGGGAAGTCAGTCCCATGAGACTGGGAGCAGCATGGAGTTCACTGTTGGGTTTATTGAACATCATTCACAACCCATTCACTTGCTCTTCTTTTGCAAACAGTCATCACTTCAGATATTAATTAGTTGTAATCCCCCATTTTTACACTATCTTCTTGATCAGTCTCAGCACACACAAAGAACTGTGGGGTACGGAAACCTCCAGAGAAGTCAGCTGACAGACTAACATAGAGATCAAATTTACACCTAAGAATGATTGAAGAGAGAGGATTGTTGTAGTTTCACTGGGAATATCAGGAAGGCCTGGAGAAGCTAAAAATGTGAGATCAGAGCCATCAGGGAGCAATCATATAAGCCTAAGAAACTGGAGAAGGAAGACGAAGTGGCTTAGTGTGTACTCGAGGCAGTAGATCAAAGAGATGACTACTGAATGAAATAAGTCAGATCGAAAACTAATTGAGTAACGCAGACAGACAAAAGGACTGAAGCAAGTCTGGCTTCCTTTGCTATCTGCTGTACTATCTCTACTGTGCTTACAAAAGTTACCTTGATTATCATGGGGATATTGCAAGTAGGGCACCAGTGGAGATGGTGATGTTGACATGCAGAGTGATTGTATCAGAGGTACCATTTATTTAGTAAAGCTGTATCCTCTGCAACTGACAAGGCACGGCTGCTACTTGCCTGTTCTCTCTCCCTGTTCAAATAATATTTAGGCAGGGATTGCAAGAGGAGCTCAGGAGCTTTGAAGCTGAGATGCTTTACTTCATCCTGTAGGCACAGAGTCAGAGGTCACTCACTAGGGGCACTCAAAGGAAGATGTTGCATGGGACAATGAGCTGGAAAGGGGCCAAGGAGACTTTCAGACGCTTCACAACATAAAATTGTCTCTAAGATTTAAACTGCTGAGGAGCAGGTCTCTGTAAAAGCAAAGCTGTTTCATCCAGACCTTTCCAGTTTTGATATACAGTTAGATAAATCATATCAAGAGATGAAGCAGCAGCCAGTATAAGGGGCCCCTTTTTACTCTATCTGTAGCACCTGAGGAAGGAGGGGTGAAATGAGATGTTTCTTTCACTTCTTAAAACCTTCTCTCTTCAGTATCCTGTTCATATCTTGCCTGAATCATCTTTAATTGAAACATCTCAATTATCTGAAGCCAATTTAGGAAACAAATAATTTAAAAAACATAGCGCTAAAACAGCTTTCAGAGAATCACAGAATCATATAGGTTGGGAAAGACCTTTGAAGTCATTAAGTCAAACTGCTTTAGTCTACATTAAATGAAATTTATAACCAGGTCTGGTCCACACATCTCCAGCAGCAAAAGGTGAGGCTTTCACTGCAGAAAATGCTCTAAGAAAAGACCTCCACAGTCATCAAAAGCCTGCAAGAGCGAGACCACCCCTTCAGGTTAGCTGCCAGACTAGTACAAATGGGATTTTGTAGATCCCTCTGTGCATGCTTGGTGAAAAATATGTTAGTGAGACACCTGCCCTAAGTCAGGAAGATGCTTGCACACCTGGCTAAACAGTGTCCTAGTGAGAACTGCACCTCCCAGGGCTATTGTTCCAACAAAGTTATGATTTACTTCAGGGCCAAGTGCCACCTGGTCAGACTAATTGCAAACATTGCAGCAAAACATGAACATTACTGCACTGACTGCTCTGAACTGAGGCTCACAAAAGAAGGCAGTCTATAGCATAGGCAGACTGAATAGGAAACACATTTTTCTATCTTACCACATCCTCCGGTCTTCCTCCTCCAGTTCTGTGATATGCACAGTCACACAGATAACCTCCATTTGACATTTTCATCTGTAGAAGTCCAATGAGTCAACTGGCAGGCTTCTCACACGCCAATTTGTCACAGCAAGAAGACAGAAGTGGGTGTGTGAGTATTGCTGCATTTCAGCCCCATCAGTCAACTCAGCAGTGATGATGGGACCAAATGAAGTCTTTCCACTCATTAGATTCCTGTGGTCTGCTACGTGCCAGGAGTTTGACCACAACTCCCTGGCGTATGTAGATGGCTTCTGTGATTCCCAGGTGGTCTCTCACCAAAATATATCCCAGGCCTGGATCTGGTTAACTTTCAAGAACAAATGACACCAACGCAGCCATGGGCTCCAAAGGTGATTATTTCTTTAAAAAGACACTGTTTTTAGCAACAAAGGTCAAAAAATAACCACCACTTGTGGAGTCAGAGATAAGAAGTCAGAGCGAACCTACCTTGTTTTGTTTGAGAACAATGAAGAAGAAAGGTAGTCTTGCTTCTTTCTTACCCAAAAGAGTACTTTAAAAGTAAGACCTTAAAACCCAATAATTTTCTTTATTTTCAAATAAGAAGTATTATCACTTCCATATTTAACCTAATCCTTAGCCTATCTGCTCTCTCCCTTCTCTCTTCTGGACAACTCTGCTCTGACACCCTTCAGGCCAAGGTGACTGCAGGACTAAGGAAGTAATTCTTACTGTGAAAGCAAGATAAATCTCTGGTTTTATCAAATCCCTTTTTCAATGGAATTTGATACTATTTTATTATTTGATTCTGCAAGTAAAACACCTTGAATTAATACAGAAATAATTAAAGGACCTGGGCACTGATTTGATTACCAGGCAGGAGAATAAGGTCTCTCTGTTTCTCTCCCTTTTTACACTGCTGGCACAAAAACATACAAAATGTGCAAAGAGGATTCAAAAGGGTTCAATAAATCAGTAGAAAGGCTTATATATATATATATTTTTTTAAACTTCAAGAATGAAATATAGGAAAAGGACTACAAAAAGCAGGGAGGGAGAACTAGGAAAAGGCAGCAGATGTTGTAAAATATCTACTTTCATGTTCCCTGTGCACCAGAAATGTGCAGACGTATGTTGGCAGAGCTACAGTCAGAGTCCACAGCGAGGCTACATCTTACACATCTGGAAGGTATTTGGCAGGGTGTAGAGTTCAAATGTTTTCTGCTTCAGCTGATTTCAGACATGCCTCTCAGTGACAGGCTGAGCTGGGGACAGCTCAACCAACAGGCTCATTGAAGAAGTTCACTGCAGTTGCAGCTCGCCTGCTCCGACTGCTGTCCGGAGCAGGCATGGGGCTGGGCTCTGCTCTTCCCTTGGGCTAAGGGGTGCTAGTAACACTCAGCAATGAGAATGATAATAGAGGAACTGGGAGGAGAGCAGGCAGAAGAAAATGGCACCATAACTCAGCAAGGCCTGGCCTTGTATCAAGAAACAGAATGTACTTGGATGAAATCCAGGGTGTGAGTTAACTGGAGTGCAGAGCAAGCCATTCAGGAAATAAGAAGGTCCGCACTGCACAGAAACACGGAGGGGTCACATTAGAGCCCATGTGCTTTTTTTTTTCAGAAATCCCTCTGTTTTAAAAATAGATAAATGCAAACAGAAGGAAAAGTTCAGTTTCTCTGTCCTAAAAGAAAGGCCAGCTTAAGCCAGCAGGGAAGGTGAGGCATGTTGCTGTGTCTGGGACTGCCTGACATTGCCCTGGCCCAGTATGGGAGCTTACAGCAGTCACCAGAGGTTAACTCTGCTTTGGTAGGAAATGTTTCTTAGCAGGAATGCACTTCTAGGATCTCTTCCTGCTCCTGTGGGTACAATCCAGTTCCTGTGAGCTACCTGCTGAGCCTAGTGTGAAGAGAGCAAGTCCCAGGTGTGGTACATAATTTACAACCCCATGATGAGCTTTCCAGGTGCAGAAGACCTTGCAGTGACAAGCCTGCCTGACAGCTTGCTGTGACCAGCTAACCACTATGCTAACAAAGGCCTGCTGATGCTGCACATCCCTCAGGTAGGGAACAGCTCATGGCAGAGCAAGGCTTTCCCCACCTCACAGCACAGGTTCTGGCTGTGCCACCATGGGAACCAAGCTGGGACCCCACTGATGAGGGAGGACACCTTGTGTGAAAAGGAGACAGGGGACAAGCTTTGCCCCTGTGAGCTGCCCTTGCACCACCCTGACAATGTTTCTCTCTCTTCCTCTGGAGTCTCAACTATGCACAGGAACTCAAAGCAATTAATTGATCTTTTCAATGCTTGACACACTTCAGGCTTGCAATGCAGAGTATGTTACATACCTCCACTTCTGCCTTCACCTTCTCTGCCCAGAGCTATACTGGAATTACAACAGGGAAAGAGTGGAGGAATAGGATGACCAGTGTCTAAAAGCCTTGTGCCAGGACATTACCATTGAACAACACTGTCAGTGGCAGGAACATTTTGCAGCACAGCAGTTATTGCAACACCTCCATCTCCCCCACACTCACCTCACTATTTTTATTTTTGCACTCTCTGACCACACACATACCCAGATGCAGATGATGTCACACTTCTGCTTTATTCATTCCCCTTTAAAACTTGAAAAGGCAGCAATATTTATTCACTCAAATTGTTGCTAAGATCACATACACTTAGACATAGTAGGCTTGACCAACACATACAGTAGAGAGATGAGGGAATGGAAAGTCCCCATGATGTAACACCTCTGCATGGCCACTGCAGTCTTCTCTAACCACCAGTCCAGGTGTCCAGATATGTAGCCACACCTTAGAAATATCCAGCAGCAAGGGCTTGCAGCAGGGCTTCTCCTCATAGGGTGCTTCTCATCTACCTGTCAGCCCAGCCATCAAGCCTTGCACTGATATTTTTCCTGGATCAGCATTTCCTGATATTTTTAACCTGACCCTAACACCTCTGACCCCGTGTGCCCCACAGCACACACCCTGACAGCTTATCCAAAACAGGCATTCACTCCTTCCCCTTCCCTGAGTTACCCATGCCCCCAGCAAACTCATCCACAGCCCTCCCACTTTTGTGCTGATATGGAGGAGCCACACTATTTCTTTAGCTGACAAGTTTGGTAAGGGATGAAAAAGCCCAAGAGAAACACTAAGAAGTTTTATAAAAACTTGAAATGACAGCAAGTCAGGACTTTTAAGTTGCTCATTCTACACATCAAAAATAAAGCCAAGGTGAAACACTCATGGCATAACAAAAATTGAAACCTGGAACAAAGTTAAAATTTATCTGATTATGAAAACAGCCTGAGAGATGTGGGGCTGTTCAGCCTGGAGAAGACAAGGCTACAGAGAGACCTTAATGCACTTTGTAGTACCTGACAGGAGCCTGAAAGAAAGATAGAGAGGGGCTTTTACAAGAGCATGCAGTGATGGGACAGGGGGAATGGCTTCAAACTGAAAGAGGACAGGTTTAGGTTAGATATTAGGAAGAAATCCTTTAATTTAAGGGTGGTGACACACTGGAACAGATTGCCCAAAGAAGCTGGGGGCATCCCATACCAGGAAGTACTCAAGATTAGGATCAATGGGGCCCTAAGCAACCTCTTCTAGTGGAAGATGTTCCTGCCCATGGCAGGGGCCTCAGGACCAGATAATCTTCAAGGTTCCTTCCCACCCAAACTATTCTGTGAATCTGTGACTAAGGTGACTGGAAAATCTCAGCAGACTGAGACCTAGGTAATCAGTTTTTTCCCTACAAATAGCTTTACTAGAAAATATATATAAACCATGAGCATAAAATTCGCTTCTTTTTTTCAACTTGCTGTGCCTACCTTAGCAATACCAACATGACATGGTGCTGTATAGATAAACAGTCTGCAGAGGAGGAGTGGTTTAACCACAATGCCCAACTGCTCTGCCTCAGCACTGTAGCTCACCTACCTATCCCAGCCCAATGGAATAGTGGAAAACACTTTTGAAATGGAAGACCACCCACTGAAAACCACCTAAAACACCTGTGTTTTGCTTCTATGTAAATAATCTGAATTCCAAAACAAACTGCAGCTTGTCACCTGATGATTTTTCATCTAAAAGAAACAACAGCAGCAGCAAACCGGGGTACAAGCAGCAATCCTGCAACCTTGCAGGTGCAGAGAGCCAGGTCAGGGTAAACACACAAATACCTAAACCCAAGTTGGTGGCAGGAGCCCTGGGGCAAGGATGCAGCATATGTGACTCAGAAATAGGTGATCTTTCCTAAAGGCAGGAAAGGGGAGAGGTGTTTTGATCATTAGATCAGCTAGCGCTCAAAGACTCAAGACTGCTTCAGAAAAACCATAACCCCAGCAGAGTGATGTGCCTGAGCTCTCAGTCACAGCACAAACAACAGAGTTACTCCATCTTGGCAAGGGTGGTGATAGCAGACATGGGGTATAATAATCTAAGAACATAAAGCAACAAGGTCTGTGGACAGAGGGAAATATATTTTATTAGAATCAGTTACAAAAATAAAACAGACCAGCTTTCATCATGCAAGTTTTCTCCGGTCTGAAATGGAAGTGGTTCTCCCCATGGGAGAGCCATGACCTATGGCGACCACAAAGAATCTGAGAAAATTCAGTGGATTATTCACGCATATTTGAAATATTAAGTAGCAGGATGGCTGTTGACTAGCACAGGGTTTGGCCAGGGGAAGAGGGCAGCCATCTGCCTGCCAGGGGCTCCCCAAAGGCTGGTGGGAATCAGCCTCACTGTGATGAGCAGAGCAGACCCTCCTGCAGCTCACCAGGCTGCCACTGGCAACCCATATGCCTGGGACACCAACAGTGGAGGAGCAAGCAATGCCCAGGCTCCCAGGGTTTTATCAACATGCCAAAGGCAGCACACAACTTTGCTCACAGCCCTGACGGAAGTCCTGTTAATGAGGAAAGCTGCTTGGCTTGGTGAGGCTGCAAAGGCCTCACCTGTGTTGGGGCTGAGCTGGGAGCCTTCCAGCAGTTACTGCTGCAAAGTGCACAGCTATGGGGCCCTTTGGGGGTTTTAGAATTCTGCAAAA